TGTACTGAAAGATGAATGGTAAAATGAAGATTATTTTGTAATCTCATTGCAACAGAGTTAAATTTTGACTTAATCATTTCAGTCATTTGTAGATTTTTTTCTAAAATTTAGTGTTTACACTATCTTATCATTGATTCTTTGATTAATATCACCAGATCTCAGCATAAATTTAATTTTTTGCTGTTTTTTTTATATTTGTATATCTTAAAGAATAATCTTTCCAGTATAATTAATTCGAAACCCGTACAAAATATAATTTCAGTTTAAAATTTACTAATCTGTGTTTTTTCTAATTAGTTTGTTGCTTGATGCTGAATACAGTGAATGATTGATTCATTTCCATAAATAAAACTTACAAATTTTATTAATTCTTGCATTAGCACAAATAAACTAATTTTGTCCTATTTGATGTAAGGAAATTAAAATGCAATAGGAGTGATAAAGTACTAAGAACTTGAAATTTTTATCGCTTAAAGATTGATAAATTTTGTTCTGCTAAGAGTGCGAATTTACACAGCACGTACGATTTTCGCAAGTATGTTGAACCAAAAAAAAATGTAAAAATTGAGTTTAGTCGAGTTTCTGTTCGATCACAATTTATGTTGTTGTAATTCTTTTTCACTTTTTTCTGGCCTATCAAATGCATTAATTTGAAAACACATTTATGTACAGCAACAGAAGTATAGGCACTTAATTTAAGAAAGATATAAGAGTGAAGAAAATCGTTGCTGCTTTTCCAGTTACTGTAATTATCAAAGCTTTGTGTGCAAAGTTTTTATAAAGAAAAGACTTTGGAAAAAAAATAGTTTGATAATAATTTTTTTAAAATCTTCTAAATTATTTGTGCACGTTTGGTCCAAAAAATTAAGTTGCACATTTTTCCACATAATGTAAAAAAATTATATATATTTCACTCTTAATCCGCTTCGCTGATAAAACGTATAATTTGTAATTATCAAAGCTTTGTGTGCAAAATTTTTATAAAGAAAAGACTTTAGAAAAAAAATAGTTTGATAATTTTCGCATGAATGCTCCGATACAAATGGCAAAAACTCTTTAGATGTGTATTTGAGCATAATATTTTTTTTAGAGGAGTATAGTTGTAAACAAAGCGATCGTTGAGTTTATTTGCTAAACACTATTTACTTTCAAATGCAATACATTTGAAACACTTGTATGCAAAATAACAATTGCGTGCATGACTATGTTTATAGGAAAAGTGAAAGTTATAAATGTATGAAGATAGCATTAAACTTGCGTAACACTGTAATGTACAAATTTGGAATATCAAGTAATCAGCTGATAAATATTGACTAAATTTTTTATCTCTTAGCTTATTTTACAGCACTGTATAAAAGATTTTAAGTTTAATAATGTTTTCTCCATTCGATGAAATTTTTTGAAAATTAAAAAGTAAAATAGAACAGTTACTAATAAATAACTGACAAGCTTTGAGCGTACTATTGTATAAGTGTCAGGTTCATCCAATAATCGAATTTTATCAAAATTTACTGTATTTATGAGCAATTTATGAACTAATTTCAATAAATTTTGTTGCAAAATGTATGCAAAAATTTTTTCGTTTTCGAAGGCAAATTTTTATAGATCTTTAAAGATTTATCGAATCGTTACGTTTGACATTTCCTGATCGAAAGCAACATTTCTATCCGTTTTCCATAAGCTACTTTAGTTTTGCAATATGCTTCTTATACTGAATAGAAAAATAATACTTTTTTTTACACTAATAAAAAAATTAATAATTTGTTTATTTTAAATGACATTTTAATGTACATTTCGGTGCTTCAAGAACTTCACTGAGGTGATACTTCATCAGTTCTTCTCGAGATTATACTTTTTATTGAGTCAAATAAAGTGTTGGATTATACGTTTTCAGGACAAATAAATTTATTTAACCAATCTGCACATCACTGCACTTTTTTGCAATCAAAAAAGATTGAATTATGATAAATTGCAGTAAAACGCAAAGGCAGTGAGTGAGAAGTGAAAAATAATTTGCATCTTAACTTTGCAAATTTTCTCCATTTACATAAAAACTTTTTCTGCAGAGTGAATTACTTTTCGAAAGTGTATTTTTTTATTACAACAGTGCATGTAAATTTAAGAAAATGTTTTATTGTTATTAAAAAAAAAGCAAATTAAATTACGTCGCAAGTTTGCCACATCCTTCAATCTTAATTCATTTTGATTGTTTACAAGAACAATACTTGTAGACGTTTTTGCTTTTTTCCGTTCGTTAAAATTTTTGTCTGCTTATCCATCGGTCGGCATCATTTCAGTGATCTTTTCCAATTTTATTTGTAGTTTAATTTAAAAAATGCAAGGAATTGCGGATAGTTTGTTCAAATACATTTCATTTGGACAGATTATGCATACTATTTAAATTACTGCTTGAAAATAAATGAAAATGAGTGTAAAGAAAGTGAAGTGAATTGATATGAGCAGCAAACTGCCCAACAAATTCTGCGTCTTAAGCTGATGATAAATGATAATTTTTTCATAATGCTTTTTCATCTGCTCAGCACTTTTTCTATTCAGCAGTTTGCATCTGAAAAATCCATCAGTTTGCAGCGAAAAAATGGTTGACTTTTGAAACAAAAACTTTTTTGTTCACTTTCACTTTGCTGCTCCTAAAATGTGAGCCGAGAAGTACTGCAAATTATGCAAAAGAATTCGTTCGATAACAGTATCCAACTTGCATTACTGACAGTGACTTTCTCATTTTTATCACTGCAAGAATGTTGAGAGTTACCAGAAAATTGTCATTGATCAGTGTTGAGACTTTTCCACCAAATTACTTCTGCAAATATTGAATTGAAATTTAAATTAAAAGCTGTAAATTTACTTATTTCACATTTAATTCTGTTGTCATTGGACTGAATTGAGCTATTCAGTGCATTTTAATTTATTTTGTAGTAAATGAGAAGTAAAGTGAAATAATTTTTGCAAGACTTAAGTCTGTTTTACAGCTTCAAAATCAGAAAGCTAAATATGACTTTTTTTGCAGAAAAGGTCAACTCTAGTCACCTTTGAGTAAAAACTGCCTGATGTACGAAATTATTGATTCTATGAAAAAATTTTACGTAAAAATTAATAATTTTGCTTTCATTTGCTTGTACTGTTTTCATTTCGTTTGCTTTTTTTACTTTGAAAACTAAGTATCTCTATGCTTGCATTTCTTTCTCTTATTTGAGCTATTAGTGAATTTTGAATGAGATGAACTTTTTCAAATTATTTTGCTGAAAGTTCTTGGCTTTTGTCGTATATTCATGTCATTCAAACTTCTACCGATGGTTTGTGACTAAATTATTCACCGATAACTGAGTTCTTTATGATCTCATATGGCTTCACATACTTTTAAATTTCATTAAAATATGAAAATTGAATGTACACTTTGCAAAAATTATTTTATGAGTGTGTATGTAAGGTAAAATTAGTAAGCATAAAGCTGTGAACATTCATGAGATTGCTCCCAAAATGTTGTTATTTCGCTTTTTACAGTGCAGTGAATTTGGAATATTTTTTATTAGTTTTTTTTCTCAAAGTCTATTTCACTCTCTATTTTTGTTTAAAGAGATGAAAATTGCAGTGTCATCAAGATAAATTTTCTGTTGCCATTAAATATGTATTATTTGATTGTGTTTGATCAGTCAAGTATTCATATGATTTATTATTATTATTATTATTATTAAATCAAATTAGTTTACTTTTAAGCATTTGAAAGAAGATTCAACATTATACTTCCAGCAATCTGACTCATTGTTTTCCGTAACAAATAATCTAAATATTTGTTTTTAAAAAAAGTTTCACGATGAAAAATTTATTGTACTTCGCAAAGCGCAAAGAATTCAAACTAGTTATGTTCTGGCATAGAACTGATATAGTCGTTTTGCATTTGAAAATAACAGTACTTTAGTAATGCTGGTCTTAAACTAATGCTCTTCAAGACAAATCCTTGAAATGTGGTTTTCTAGAAGTAACTAAAAATTCGCAGTTAGTGGAAACATATGTGAACAGAGACTTATTGATCTATTGAAGCAGTGTAAATTTGAAGTATTAGCAAACTGACTGTGATACTATAAATTCATAGAGAAAAATTAAAGTAGGTTAGATTTGGAAAGTTAGCTACTGCAGCAAACAGATATTTGATGAAACCGTCTTTTGTTTCTCATTCTAAAATAATACTTTCTAGAAAATGTGGAACTGTCATGATATGATGTGAAGAAAAATATAAAATTATAAGGTTAAGGCACTGCCATAATATTGGATAATTAATATTAAATTTAATAATAAAATTGGATAATCAATATTAAATTTGATAATGAAATTAAATAATCAATATCGAATTTAATAGTGGATAATTAATATTAAATTTAATGAAATAAGCTTAAAACCCTCAACTAAATATTCGTTTTCTTAAAATTTGACAGCAAAAATTTTTTCCTTAAGTTTTTGATTCTACGACTGATACTTTTGGAAAATTAATTATCATGTTGTTGAAAAGCCATTTAACTATCAAGGTTGAAGCATTCGAATTAGACTTTTCAAACACTAAAAATTATCCTTAAAACTAATAATTTTTTGCTCCTCAGCTTGTAATGTTTTGATCGCTTACTTTTCCTACTTTACAAACTAAGTCTCTATGCTTTCATCTTTCTCTTACGACTGATTTTCTAAAAGATCTTTCCAAAAACTGTATTTTTTTAACGGTTTTCTCGATAACAACTCACTTTTTTAGCAGGAAAAATGTGGGAAAATTGCATATATGCAACACATGCATTTTTTTGCATGATTTACAAATCTATTTTTTCTCGTGGAATGCAATTTCACTCACATATAAAAATGAAGTGAGCAAAACGCAAATTCAAAAAATTATCAATATTTCAGGCTTCGAAATAATCATTAAGTGCAAACATTGAATTTCACGTTGGAATTTGATGCTTCTCAACAAAGGATCAAGCAAATAATTAGTAAATCCACATATGAATGGTTATTGTCACTTTTCGGAAGCAGCTTTGTTACGGTTGCTCGAATACGTTGGTCCTATGGAGAGGTTGAAATTACAACAGTGTTGCAAACGTTTTTATCGAATTTATAGTAAATGGTTTGATATAACCTCGTTGGACATTCGAATTACCGAGCAAAAAATTGACGGTATCTATTCTTCTGACGTTTAAATACTTTAATTAATTACTATCTTTATTTATTCAATTTCACTTCTGATTCAAGTTATAAACTTAAGTTGCCTTTTAAAATAATACATTTTTTGACAAGTGAGCAGAACACTTCTTATATTTTAATATCAGATCTGTCAAATTTTGGAAAAAAAATTTGTCGTGGAAGCATAAATAAAAGTGTTTGTTTTACTTATATTGCATTTTTATTTCACTGAATCAGAAAAAAATTGGGCAAAAAATTTTGGAAATTTCTTTACTGCTCATAAAATAATATCATTAATTAGAATGAATGATTCCTTCATACTACTTTTTATAATTGAATAGTTATTCAGATTAATGATATTTCAAGAAAGAATTAACATTCAAAGGTGGTACTAAATTTATTCACTTTATAATATTTTCATGAGCGGAAATACTTTATGGCGTTAACAAAATTTTGTTCATTAAAAATTAAGATAGCAAAAATAGAAAAAAGTGATTTCAGATAGTGAAGAAACTGCCCGCAGGCGACGGTTTGTTCAGCGCTCGAAAAATACTAAATTTGCTTATCGAATACGGCTCGAAAATAAACATGGTACCTTGTACAACCTAAAGTCAAATTCGGATCGGTATGCAAATCGAACACTGAAAACAATGCTTTCCAAGTAACTATTATAAATTTTCCTTCGCAAAAACTTTTGCTTTCAAAATTCCGTACCGTTCGTGATGGTTTTTGCATCACTTTAGTTTCTAATTTCGAGTTTTTATTTTTTGATAATTTTAGCTTGGGAACTCATGAAGCGTAAAATTTTTATGATGTAGCTTGTTTTGAACTAATGGCATTGTTTTTTGTCTTCGGGGAAACAATGTTATTAAAGCACATTTGTTCCTATAGAATCTTTTATTTAAACATATTAAATTGATAATTTTTTGTGCAGCTCAGAGACAGAGTTCTATTCAGTGCAAGGAACTCAAGCTCATAAAATTAAAAGACTGCACGTGAAATTAAATTGAATGAACGTCAGTTTTACAATTTTTAAAATGGATTAACTTCCCACCAAATTCATTACTGAAACAAACAATGAGTGAAGCTTTTTGCTATAAATATAGCATGAAAATGAAAAGCTTGATATTCAAGCAATATTTATTTTAAATGATCAATTTTAAGACATTTCTTAAGTCGCTTTGTTAAGATTGCAATCATTATCAGTGCTAACAATTTGGGATGCGTGCCTAAGCGAAGACTTCAGTACGGTTTTATCTCAGTTGCAGTCCATTACAACATTACGGATTTGGAATTCGGTTCGTTATTTTGATAAGAAAAGGTATTTAACGTTGATATTCTTACTGTTTTGGTTCAATACTTTCAAGTATCAGAATTAGATTATCGCTTTTCTTGTCTCTATGTGAGTGAACTCTTTTCGTTATTTAATATTTTAGTTTTTTCATCATTTTATTACTAAACGATCTTTTGTCTAGCTTTTAACGCTTTAAACTTTCTTCCTTTTGCTGTCATTTTTGGTTGTGATTAATTATTTTTCTCTGTGCTTCATAACCCCACAGTAAGAAATAACTCTACGACTGCTGTGATTACTGACTGACTTGTTTGACTTTGTAATACAATATATTTCTCAGCGATATCACTCGTTCTTAATCTTTTCTACTTCTTTGTCCACTTTTGTTTGCTAAGCTTTCTGCATATAGCTGTACTTGAATCACTTCCTGATCTATAACTGAAAATTTTACTATAAACATCGACAATATTTGTTTCATATTTACTGCAAATTGTAGTACTCATTTTGTTGACAATGCAAGCAAATCACTGCTTTCAATAATTTTTTTTAATATAAACCAAAATTTAGTGATATAATAGGAATAATATTTCTCGTAAAAATATGCACATATTCATACTACAAAAAGTGATGCATTTTTAAAAGGCACATGAACTCATACTACTTCAGGCCTGCTAAACGTTTGCTGCATGCATTATTTTCCTTTCCGTTATTGGAAAGCATTTTCGTGCTCGATTCCACGTTCATGCAGTCTACTTCTCAATGTACATCTATTTTCCCATACTTTCTCGTGGATTCTATCCAAGGATCAATTGTTAATTTACAAATTGCTGGTAAAAAGATTCACTGTTATTTTCATCTGCAAAACAAGTTTGATAAAAATCACTGCCGTATTATAATTATAAAAATCATTTCGCTCTTTTTTAGACTTTTCTCGCGATATTGCTGATACTTTTTCGATTAGTATTTCACATAAGTATATTACGATTGAGTTCTGCAACTAAAATTCTAAGGCTGCCGAATACGGCAAACAACAAATTTAAAATACTAGATTTTGTTGATCTTTGAATGAAAAACTAAGTCATTTTTGACAAGACTAGAAGAACTTTTAATGATGCACTGAAAGCTCACAAATAATTATGTAAAATATGCGTGAACTTATATTAGAATACAGCTTGTTTATTCATACTTGTTTCTCAGACTGACCTATTAACATGTCATATTTAGTTCAAAAATATAATGTTTTTTTCTATAATGCTTGTCCCATTTCTTACTCAAACTCAGTGCCTCTGACAGCAATTCCACAGTTTATACTTCCATTTTTTTAAATTTTATTCCATTTAAAGTTCGTGCTTATTTTTTGTTTTTGTTAGATTTTCAGCCTAATGAAAATTTTCAAAATTAGAATACTTTCAGGCATATATATTTCTTCGAAGACATTTGAAGCATTATGTGAAAAATTGCGAAAAACAGTAAAACGACTAGCGATAGGTTGTACATACGGTAAAGAAAGCAAACGAAAACAGTACTGCAAGGCAATCGCAAAACTTGAGGTACTTCGCCTACTAATCTCACTTATCAAATTAATAATAATACAAGGATATAAAATTGCTATGCGATCCTAATTCTTGAAATCAGATGATACCTTACAATAAGTTTTTTTGATAAATTTTTGTCAGCCTCAAGACAACAGATTGATCAGCTAGGATTTATGCAATTAAGAAAAAGTCAAATTTTTTTATTGGATAAACTGATAAATCGAAAGGTTTGCTTCTTTTCAGTCTTTTTTAAGCAATGCAATTGCTAACTTTTATTTATAGGCAGGACGCAAACATAACATCCATTCATTATAAACAATTGCTCTAATGAATTATTAGTGCTTAACTCAAAGATTAATGATTGGATTCAGGTCCTAGAAGATCTAGATATTCCACCACATATTTTTCATCTCGGTGAAGTAATCGAAATCGACGATGAAGCTCTCTCTTGTCTATTTAATAATTCAAGATTGCATGGCCTTGGCTTCCGACATTACAACTCTACAGTCCTCTTCCGTTTTATCGAATTCAAGATGCCTCATAATATCTGCTTACTGAGGTATGCATTTTCTAAATTCGATAGTCAAATTGCTTCTGTGGCTTAGATGAAGTTACTATTTTGAATTAATTAATACTTATATCTCAGCAAAAGATATAAGAACTTGAAAATTAACTTTCATTAGAATTTGGCCAAGTAATGCGTAAGACATGGTTATGTGACGTTATAAGTTTAAAATAACTTGAAAGATATATATAGTTTTCTTGATGAATTTATACTCATGATTTGATTACCAGTTAAATGCTTTATGGAATTCATTACAGTTTCTAAAAAGCATACTAATTAGTCTCGAATATGAAAATTTAAGACGGAAAGAGTCTGTCCACAGTTACTACCAAAAAACTTTATTCTAAATTGTAATCACAATGGAATTGCCACAACTAGATGCAAATGAAGGACCTCTGTTCTTCTGGTTTAGCTAAAAATAATATAAAAAGTGGTGCATCCATTATTTTTAATTAATTAAAAGTATTTTAAAAACTCAAAAACTATAAAATTGTTTTTCCTGACATATGCGCATCATTTGCTAGAAACCAAAAAGAGCAAAGGTCATTTATTTGTGTGATTTCTGTTTAAATTAAATATTTGGCAGAACCTTCAAGATTCCTAGTTATAATCATACAAATATATTAGGTACCAAGAAAAATTTCTTGTGAATGATTTGATTCCAGCATGCACCTTACAACTTATAAATTATTTTGATCAATTGATTTGAAGGATACATCACAGCGCCAATCGAATTCCAAATTTTGCACAGCTCGGAATGCTACAACCGAAACCTGAAGAAAAACCAGTACCGCAACGTAAATCATCTTGGTTGACCGCACGGAACAATAGTATGGGATCCAAAAACAGTATTGTTAGTTCATCAGATAGAAGTTAGTCAGATCTTATTTTTTAGATTATATTAAGTTCCCAACAAAAATTTCCAGGCCCTTATTTTATAACTTTAGCTTGTTCAGATTATGATCTAAGATCTCCACCAGTCGCAAACAAGAGACAGTTTGCAATATTCTTCCACGTTTATGTTCTATATATATATATATATATATAGAAATTAACTTCCGCATATATATATATGGAAGTTAATTTTCGTTTTCGTTCTATCGTTTCTGGCGCTCGATTGCATTCCGACACTCTGGTTGTAGTTGTCCCGAGCTCAGATTTAGTGTGCTCATCGTTTTCGCTTCGTTCTTCTGAAATTCATAACGAGTATCGAAGCAGATGCTTTCTAACGTCTTCTTGAGAACTATCGATTGAATACATACCTCGACGTGATCAGATATGATGATCTTCTTCATGTAGCGTTTGTGGAAGTTCGTTACAATCCTATCCCAACTTATGGAATTATTTTGGTCCTACATTTCACCTTTGACCCAGGCATATTGGCAAGTAGATAATATTTTTACTCTTTTTCGGTCTTGACTGCTGTCAAGTCCTGATTAGTGATGCCAACCTCTATCAGATTTATTCTAGGCCGCTTCTTGTCGTGTATCATGATATCCGATCGATTTGCACTTATCTTTATAGCCGTTATCACTCGCGTACTGACTCTGATCTTCATGCTCTCATTCGCGACGACCTCCTGAACAGAGTGGTATCGCATGCGTGGGAATACTTTCAGACCATACTTCATGCAAAGTCCCATATGCATCCTAGGACCTCTTTGTGTCTTCTAGTATAGTCGTGATATAACATTTTTTCTTGTACTGCATCGCTAGACAGTACACCGTCTTCACACGTTCCCGCCAATGTTAGCACATACCTTTCTCAGTTCCAAACACATTTCTATCTTGGAGGTTACAGTATCGTGCTTCATTTTGCGGAGAAATGTTTCTGTATTGTAGCCATATTGATGAATCAGCTATGGACGAGATATTATTCGTCCGCATCTCGTATAGCTTTGCATGGTGAGTTTTCTATTTCGCTATACAAGAACACCTTCTGGGCTGCTAATACATTTTCAATAGTGCAATTTTCTGCGAGGTTGTACCTAATCTTTAGATAGCTCATAACACGTATTTGACATAATAATTGCCAAATACGTGTTATGAGTTTTCTCCAGCTTCAAAATCACTGCTCTCCTGCTACATAGGGGCATGGTATCTATAAGAACATTATGTAGTTGAAGAAGCATTAAGCTCACTTCTTTGCTTCACATTATGAAGTCCACGTCCTAGCTTGTCCCCTAGCAGGTACAGTCTATCCAAGCATGCAGATTGCTTGTGAATTCCGTATTTGCATAGTAACTGTCTGATATCGTGGTATACAGCTTTGAAGTCTTCTGGCTCCAGCTTGAGCATCCCGATGTAATAATTTATTAAACTTATGGCATGCTCATTCACTGCCTTGATAAAGTTCTTGCCACTCAGCGCAGTTTTAGCTAATCGCTCAATTCTCATTATAATCTCTGCTCTGACTCTAATCTGGCTTGCACGGGTAAGAGTCTTGTCTTTAACTATTCGTATTTGTACCCTTGAGTTTCCTTCCAATAGCGCTGCTTTATCAATGCATACCTCGATCTCGGTGTTAGTGGCTGTCTTTGTTGAATTTATTCCCAGTCTACCAGATCAAGGAACCTTTCAACTTCTTCTGCCATAGATTTCATGATATCCTCATCGGTCGCAAAGATCTTGAGATCATCCAGAAACAACAAATCTTTTTGTATGTATATATATTCTTCAAACTGTATAAAACTGTTTGTGATTCTGATTTTGGAGTGTTGAAACGTTCATGAAAATTTTAGGAGAGTCAGCATGAAAAATTTATAATGAATATTCCAAAAAGAAAATAAATATATAATTACTGGATAGTTACATTGCGTAAAAAACTGGCGATTCAAACTTATTAGCTTCACAAATTTTAGGTATAGAAAGTTCATCAAATGAACTGTGGAAGAAATCGCCAAGAAGCAGCATAGCAGTATCTGAATCCTCACATATCACACAAATTGCAGTTGAAAGCTGTGCCAATTCTAGGAAGACCAACCTATCTACCAGAAATTTAACAATTTTAGCTATAGAAGAAGCGCCCCGAACAATGATCGAATGCGCAATGAAACTCCGACGGCGTGTTTACTCAGGTATTTTCCAATTCTCAAGCTGCAAATACTCGAATCCAACTTCTATGAAGAAATTAACAAGCTATTTTTTTGCAAAATTCATCGATGTAAATCAGAAATAATTTGTAGAGTAAAGAATGAAGTTGAAAACGAAGTCAGCAATTATGTAGTTCATTATAAATGAATTATCAACTGTACGATTCAATCCATGATGTAAGAAAGAAAGCTAATAAGGAACTACTTTCCAATTGAATAACGACTAAAATAATGAACAAGAATATAAGTAGAACGCTCATTTTAATACCGAAAAAATTTAATAGCCTTTTAAACAATACCTTTAATCTGAATCATTCAACCAGTTAAGCAATTTCAGATGGATGGTAATATTTGAATGGAGAACTGTGACGTCAAAATATGATATCACCAAAATGTTTTCACATAATTCAGTTTTACTAAACTTTTATTGAGAATAGCTCAAGTATTGTAGTAATAATTTCAGGTGTGGAAATTTTTTACATGCAAGAAAGCGTAGATACTCAGGAAATACTGGGTCGTATGGCGGCACCAATGAGATCTCCATACGTTTACACCAGATCATCAAAACGTGAAATGCGCGTCATTAAAGGTGATCTAGTGAGGCCGATACCGCTGTCCAGTCTAGGAATGGAAAGTGACTATGAAATGAGCGATTGGGAAGACTGATTGCAGGATACTTGCGTGATAATTTATATAAAACGTTGAATAATGTGTACAGTATTAAAACACGGTCATGTGTCACGCCGTTTGTATGACACAAATAACTGTGAGATGGCAGTCCTTCAGATGTAGAGATAACCAAAGCTGCTAATGCCGTTATTTTTGCAAAAGTGTATATATACATAGGAAGGTAGAAAGTTTTGGAGGACTGAGTTTCTGTGCCACTCTAGTTTTACCAGTAGATAATTTTTTATCAAATTTTTAAGTTTCTTTGGCCATTTTTACCTAATAGGTATCTATCTTTCTGCTACATTTCCTCTTGATTTTGTGATGAAAATTTGCAAAGCGTGGTGTCTGCGAATTATTGTTTTTCCCTAGCTAAATAAATATGAAACCTTAAGCTTATAAAAAATTTTCCATGTTCTCAGATGTTGGTCTAAGGTCATATGATATGGAAGTTTGATAAATACCAAGCATTCCACGGAATGATACCTATTAGGTACAAATCGCCTTTGTTTATCACTATAAATTGAAAATACGTCTCACATAAGAGTTCAGCATTCCTAAATAATTCTCAGAGGACGAATTCCTGAGCATTTATGTTGACTTATGATTTTCATGTTTTTTTGCGCTGTCTTCAGCCATTGTGATTTAGCAATTCTGCTTTGACCGGTAAAGAGTTCTGTTTAATTGATGGAGTAGTCTCTCAGAGGCTTGACCTATTGTAGAGAAGTGAAAGATGACATTTAAATGATTTAATCATTAACAAAGTCTCTTCCATAGAACAAGAGAGACATTTAACCAAAGAAATAAAATAAACTTTGGGATTAGTCGTAACATAGTGTAATGTAGTACTCATAATCTAAACGAGTTGTGTAGAGGGAGATTTTTTATTTGAATGAATTTCCCACTTTACTGATATTGGGAACTGGTTCGAGATCGAAGACATACTTTTTATCGTTCACCTTTGAATGATTAGGTCTTGCAATACATAAGTACGATTGCGTTATTACCCCAACCTAGATTTGAAGACTTCTAAAGACTGAAAAGTCAGTAAAGTTAGCAGCGGAGATAAAAGGAGAAGCTAAAATGAAGAAAGTACTTCACTTTATTTTCAATATCTATCTTGAAATCATCTTATTTATTTATACCAAAGCAAGGAGTGAATACATCTAATTTGTTGCAATTGAATTTTTAAAATTGACAAATAAAATCGTGAATGAATGTCCACAGATTAAAAAATGAAGTAGAAAAACAATTCTAGAAATACCCTAACGTAATAAGTTTTTGTTAAATAAAATAATATTATTTTTAATTTCTATCTTGAATTTCTATCTTATAGCTTTGCAAGATGCTGAATATAAATGAATAGTGAAATTCGTTTCCGACATGGTGAGAATTAAAGTTTGGTAATTATTTTCAGTTTGAGTAACTCTTGCAAAATTCGTAAAATTACTTACTAACCTTAGTGCTTATCAAAACCCATAAGAGACTTGCAAGGGACTCCATTCTATTCGTTTTCTGTTGCATTATTTGTTGCTGAGAATTTCTATATAAAAATTAGGAGGATAGAAATGAATAGTGACTTCTGCAAAGTTTCAAATTATTTCACTACGGGAAAAACAACGCAATCACCATGCAGTGAAAATTAATAACACAAAATCAAAATGAAAAGTGGCAGAAAGATACCTCTATCACTATAAATAAGCAAAGAAATGTTGAAAATTAATAACATATTATCCGTTAGTAAAACCAGAATGCCTTTGAACTCAGTCTTCCAAAACTTTCCACATTTCTTTCTTGTACTGATTACTAAAACTGTTTTTAAAAAAACTTATTAGAATAACCCACTAAAGCACCTGGAAACTGCATAAATATTGGAATGAATATTGTTAATCCTGAACTTGATGCCTTGTGGTAAAATGACTTAAGTTTTTTCGATAAAATTCATTAAAAAGAATTCTTAAAATAGTAAATAATAGTTTGGATGCGCTGTAGACTACAAATGATGAGAAGAAAAACTGACATATGCAAAAAAAAGCAAACCAAGCAATAAACTGGTGAATTGAAGATTCTCATTTCTATCCCCAGAAACTAAAAAGATTCTTCAGTTCATGACATGTTTTATGATGTTTGCGAATTTAAGAATTAATTTTATCATGATATGTTAATATATCAACATATATTGATAGACTAATTACTAAATTACAACTGTGGAATAAAATAATCGAAGAAAATGCAATGCTATACAACATTCAAAATTATGAATATGATGACTGATCCCGATATGTATTCCATATTATTTTTGGTCGGTAAATGCATCTCGAGTACGATCTTCTGCTCCTACACTAATTCCCCTTTCGCCAAAAGACATATCATACCTGTTATGTATATGTAAATAATAAAAGCATGTTATGTAAATGAAAACTTATCATTAATTTAAGAAGGCCTAATTTTACAATTTCGGAGCAGAATGAGTATATTTTGGATTATATCGTAGTTTTGCAAACAATAAATCTTTCAAACAAGACGGAAATAACTAAATAACTTATTGCTTGAAAAATTTAAAATAATTTATTTCAAAATAACATTAACTTACAGAAAACCATGTAAATTATCAAGTTTCCGGAAAAGCAGATCATACTGCTCATCAAGTCCACCACTGTCACTACAAAAAATCTTCATATTCGAATTTCTTTAATCAAATTATGCGTACTGATATTTAAAAATCAGGATTAACTGAAAAAATATTTACCTCAAAGTGGAAAAACTTGGTGCTTGAATTTTGTGCAACTTGACGTGAAATGCGGTTAAATCTTCCATCTCTTGTCGTGCTTCCCTCATCATTTTCAATCGTTCTTCACCCACTAAACAGTTGAAAATACTCTATCCGACAAAAACGACGATTACAAAAGTTTATTACCAATTACTGAAAAATAAAATACGAAATAAAGAATATTTTTTATGCTACAGATTTATGGGACAAACAAAAAACTATTGAGAAAAATAATGAACTTAAACTTCAGAAAGACACACTTAAAAAACACATGGCTCGGATAAGTTAGATGTAAATATTAAAAAACACTGTGATGTGACGTTGAGATGAATAAGTCTTTTTTCATTCTAAGGCAAATGACTACTTCCAAGTATGCACAATGACCTGCTCCTGCACAGAACAATAATTACAAACTAATTTACAGGCACACATTCTTCCGGATCGGAAATCATCAAGCAAAGCAGTTAGAGACTGCTCCAAAGCTTCAATTTCTGCAGCGTGATCAGGTTCTAAATCCATTTGATCCATACCACTAATTTCGTTCACTGCAGTCGTAGACGTACTGGTAATCTCATTTTCTGTCTTACAGTCAGTTCCACCGGCTCCATCATTAGATGGTGTTGTTGTTGTTCCCATTTCGTACCACTCATCTAAAATAAATCAAATTATTGCCAGAAAAACTCCTGATAAAGTCTATGATAATGTACGTATACGGCGATGTAATGTGTAAATCTATGGACTTACTTTGTGATAAATCGAAAATCTTTACTATAAAAAATATTACATCACCCTAATGAAATATGAAAATAACACGTTTTCAGCGATTTCAACGTAAAAAATGCCTGCAAATTATTTAACTGGTAAAAAAACAATTTAAACAAGTAATCATCTAAAATACTTCAAACAACAATGTGATCCAAATAAATTGTAGCTTAGTTTATTTGAACTACATGAAAGAAAACGATGAGTCACTCAGTCAATACAGTTTAATTAATAAAGCTGTTTGATTAATGAATTTGCAGTTTTCATAATTTTCATAGAACGTACCTGAAAGTTCTTCTCTGCTTGGAAGTTGCAATATATTCGGACGAGAAAAACGCTTATCACTTTTCTCAGCAATGTTATCAGTTAGCTGATCACTTTTTCTAAACAGTTGCGTGTAAAAAGTTACCAAAATTCTTCTAAATAAATTCAAATACAAGTCAGTTGTTGATCTAAATTTTCAAAATTTTTCGATTTTCATCATCAAAAAAGTAAAACCGGACCAAATTCCTGACAAAGTTGCATACATTATTTATCTAAACAAAAAACAATTCACTTACAACATGAAATATGCATTTACAGATGAGAAGAAAAAAGTTAGAAAAGGATTTACCTGGAAGCAAACGACGCAGAAATCTTCGTCAATCGATGCATGTCATTTATTTCATCTGTAAAAATTCATCTGTTCTTCCAATTAAGTGATAACCATTGATGAGCACGGTGTGATACAAAATGTGATGCTTCTTGCAAATATGAATATGCATACTTTATTTTAGATATCACGAGTCTCAAAATAAATGCTTTTCTAATAAGAAATGAATGTGATAATCAGTGAAGCACATGCTAGAATTTCTCTGACCAGAAACTATCTATCTGAAAATAAAAATAGAGAATGGCATAACTGGAAAGGCATAATGACATACCTTAATGGAAAGTCTGTGAAACTGTACATTCAAGTGCAATTCTCTGCACTTAAAATGATTCGATCAATTCTGAAAACAAAAATAAAATGCATTTTGCAAGTCGACACCTCAACCTCTCAATCATTTGCGTGAGCAAGAGTCTTCTGTAATTTATTTATAACTGTTACTTTAAAACGGTCTTTACTCTTTGTACCGTTTAAGCATCGCATTTAGCTGCTTGTGGAACCTTAGGAGGGTCGCTCAGGTCAAGCTCGGATTCGTGATGGAGTGTTTTCTAAACCCAAATAGTTCGTACAAAAATCATCAACAGTCTTTTCACTTTGTCTTCATTTTTGATGATTTCTGTATTTTTGCTGGTTTCAGATGCTAAGATCATTATTTTATGATAAACAGTGGTCATAGTTAGCACAGAAAAGTGTTTCTTTGCAGTGATCGCGCAGTTATAAACGACTGATTACTGAAAGTGATATGTTATTATTTTTGGAAACCAAATTAGTCTAATGCAAGCTTTTATTTTATCGACTTTTCAGTACTGTGTTGATTTGGATTTTTCGGTCATTAAAGAATATAATTTGCATGCAAAACAGCATAGCGCATTGAAATAGAAGAATTGAAAAGTTTTTGATTTTTTAAGTGCTAATACTAATTTCAAAAGGTATAATCCTTTTCGAATTCAGAGAAGTAATTGAGCGATAAATTAGCATGACGCAATTTTTTTGCATTGTCTGTATGCTGGGGGGATGGAGGTTGTCGTTTAAAATCAGTCTTAGATTACTACGATTAAATTATTTCTTTGTTCTAAATACTAGTATAGAATTTTCTTAAAAATCTAGTGAACGACCTGAGTCTAGACGTTCTATATCGGCTGCTTACCTTGACTTAATTGATATGCAACAACTGACGCTTGCTGATAAAACGTTGTAGTGCTTTTTTATTGTTTATAGGTCATTTCAGCGCGAAACAAATCCTTCACAAATACGAGTTCCAAATTTAAAACAAGAAAAAACACAAAGTTGTTTGGAAACGAAATAAAAATCTTACGGATTCGAAGTTAGGACTGTTCAAATTCAAATGAAAGTCATCAGTACGTAGTGAAATGTTGTTGCAAAGAAAGGTTGTTTGAACACAAAATCAAATTTAAGAAAGGAAAGTGTACTTTGAGTGCAGTTTTTTCAAATAAATATTTTGAAAACTGTTTCAGCAATAATATTCATTTCGAGAAATCTTTCAGTTTTTGAAGGCAATCTTTCACAGTTATATAAGAATGCATTGTGTGAGAGTGTTTGAAAAATATGAGCACAAGCAGTTGGCATCGGTTTTTTTCTGTAAGATTCACTCCAGCGAATTAAGCTGTGGTTCACACTTTGCAAATACATTTTCATTGCTTATAAAATGACTACTTTCCTGCTCTACCCGCTCAATTTCTACTGCTAGAAGTTAATGTTGGAAGGGATTATCTTTGAATAGTATAAATATCGATGTAAATAGCATTAAGAGTGCATCAGTAGGGAATAGATATGAATCTAACAATTGCCTTCCGTTTATTATTTGTTATACTGAAGGGTCTAACCACATATTGATGATGAATTTGACTGCAAAATCGCCTTATCTCTGCAGCATTTCTCATCAAACTTTTATCATCTTTTTGCGATCCTAACAGTATTTCAGATTCCAATTCGGTACACTTGATAATTTTCTCCCGTTACAATGCTCTTTCCATTATCATTACTGTGCGAATTTTCGGATTTTTTGTTCGCCCCAAATAATTCATTCTATTTGAATAATAACGAATTGCAAAAAATTCATTCGTACATTATATTTTTTGAGAAAAAATAGTAAAAGTATTGTTTTCGTCAGTTTTTCATGAATGCATTATTAATTTTGCATAATAATTAGCATTTTCCCATCATAATTATCATGCTAATAAAAAAGTAGTTTCGAGAGCCTTTGTGGAGAAAGCTCCTGCTCATGCAGTAACAGTATTGTACAGAAATAAATGACTATTATGTTGCTTGGATTGTTTATAACATGCTTTATTCACAAAATCCTTGCTCATATTGATTCGATCCTCTAATAAAGTACCGAAAGAGATGATATAAATTTTCACTTCTGTTTACTGTCATTTGTAGGTCTGTCAACTTTTACTTCAAAAAATTATCATGATAGATCAGTAATTTTAAATCTGTTAAACAGAAGAACAAGCAAACTTTTTTGGACATAGTTTTTGTGATGTTTAAATAAATGTGCATAAAGTGCATAATTATTATTAAATCTAGTATTTGATCGCTATTCAAGATAATTATTGTTTCGAGCTTCTTTTATAAGGTTTGGGACAATAAGAGTGTTCTACGTATAATAAATTTAAGTTATATTGTTCTCCGTTGTACCATCTCATATTAATAATGTCATAGTTTTGACTGGTTGTACCATATCAACACATAATCATCATTATGGGAGTGATTGAAAAATCAAAATCACAAATATCATGATATGACACTGATAGCAGTCTATATTTCACATTAGTATGCTCAAGATGACCGCAGTATGTTGCCTGTACTTACTATTTTAAGTCTTATCGAAATGTTTTTATAGAATTTGTTTGCTTGAGACTGAGAGATATTGTAACTTTTTAATAATAGTTCAATTAAGATTCTTTTAGATTTGTATTTAAAAAATTTGAAAAGTAAAGCACCGAATCTCTGCTTTAATTTTGTGGCCAAAAGTAATAAGAAATGGTCCTTAATAACATTTAATTATAATGATCGTGTTTTTTTCCTGTTTTTTCAAAGAATTTCTTAAAATTATCTGGTTCAAAAACTTTGCTGTGATGAACTTACGAAAGTCTAAGAAGTATTCAGACTTATATGCTAAAAAGATGTGTCTTTCACATCTATACAACTAATTTAACTAATTTACGATCTGTTATCGGTGGTTCAAAGCTTAAAATATAATAATTAAATCTGCAGGAATCGAGTTTTTGTTTAAAATTTCTAAAATTATTCAGCCATTGAAAGGACAAAGAATATTTTAAATTTAACGATTCATAGGACTATTGAAAAATTAGTTTGTTTTCAGCAAGTAATAGCAGTCATATTAATTACGTTATTTGAAAAAGTATTTCAACAAGATTGTTTTATACATGAGAATTCATAATAGTATTATCGCTGTTAATAATATTTACAAATACATTACTAAAAAAATGATAAAAAGAGAGTTTTTGTCGTGAAAAAAATATTAATACCATTACTCTTGAAAAATTAATTTTTCGTATAATCCGACTAAAGCGAGAAAAATTAGCTTAAATCCATTTATTCTGCTGAAAAACAATTTTCATGTTATTATTGCGATTTAGCAACTTTAAAAACTACCATTGCATTTCTATCAGCAGCAAAAACAGCGTCTCGGCACTATCGTTTGTGTATATCCTCGACGTGATCAGATATATTGATCTCTTTCGCGTAACGTTCATAAAAATTCTTTACAATACCATTCTGAGTAATCATTTACAGAAATATATTTTAAGACCAAAATAAGATACACACTGAAATGTAATGAGGTTGCGATGCATCCATTTAGGACTCTGCAAAAAGTATGGTCTGAAAGCATTTCTGCACATGTGAAGCCATTGTGTTCAGGAGGTCGTCGCGAGTTAGAACTTTGAGATCAGAGTCGATTTGCAAGTCAGCTGTAAAGATAAGTGCGGATCATCCTCATATTATGATACACGATAAGAAATGGCCTGAAATAATTCTGATAGAGATTGGCATCACTGTCAGGACAGGTTGATAGCAGTCCAGACCGAGAAGAAGCGAAAGTACAATTTTCTGGCTAATAAACTCAGAACGGTCAAGAATCGTTTTCAGCCCTTCGCTGGGCCAACTGCTCTTTGGAAACTTGATCCGAAGAATCGAAGAATCCAGGAAGCAGAGAGCATTCTGCTGGTGTTCTAGAACCAGGGGTAAGTAGGATGATTGTACTTCGCACGTAATGGTACCCTTCATGGAGGACATTACCACTCCATCTGTTTTCCCACTGTTTTCTATTTATAATTCCGAATACGGGTTTTCTTTCTTTACTCTCCATTTTACTACTTTGTTATACAGTTTAACCGCTCAAAATACATTATATATGTCAATTGCTGAGCATAAATGGATAGTAATAAATTGCCTTATTTGCACAAAACTAGGCAAGTTGAGATTCTTGCCTTTAAATAAATTTTATACTCATAGCCCTCGATGGCTTTTTCAAATCAAGTGTATTATGTGAAATTTCGGATATTTATTTCACTTTTGTTTATGAAGGTGTAATTTATAGAGTTCATTGATTCAAACTGAATCTTTGTTTTGTTGACTTGCTTAGTGTTTTATAGTATTAATTTCATTTCATTTGTTTTTCGTTCATCTAATTTAGTCAATTTCAGTCCTAAAGAGTTTCAATAATACAACTATGGCAACAATATTGACAACAAAAACTATGGCAGTGTAAAAATAAAGTTAACGAATTTAGTGTAATTGATATTAAAAATAGCAATTATCAATTGATTAATATTCACAAAGAGTGGAAGTTACAAATATTATCAGTTTCATCCACTTCATTCATAATTTTTCTAATTTTAAAGTATCATTACATTTTCAAAGCATATTTTTAGGTCATTTATTTGTACTTTTGTTTTTTCTGAAATTTTTTCCATGAAATATTTATCAAAAATAATAGTTTTGATTGTAACATTGTTGTTAGTGATGGTTTCACATAATTTCATTGCTGAAATATTGTGGGCACTAAATTTTGATGCGAAAATTATCGTACTAAACCCATAGCAGATCAATCTTACGCAGCATCTCTTTGTTTTACTAGGTTTTCAATTTTCATCAAGTCATAAAGTTTGTAACTTCTCTGTTGCAATGTCGATTGATTTTTCATCCAAAATACAGTTTTTATTGAAATGATCTCAAAATTCGTAAAGCGTACTTTTATTGTTTTATCATATTAAGCTTCAAATTAAATATCATTCTCACATCTTGAATTTTCATATGCCAAAACAATCCAACATCACATCATAACAAGTTTAAAAGCGTGAGTAGGTTTTCGATTTTCCTTTTTACAATCGTTCTGAATGTGCAGCCATTATTATAAAGTTTGTTATCCTTTAAATTATTTGTGGATAGTGCAGAACCATTATAATGAGAGTAGTCGAGCTTCCTAATTAGCAACTTTGGTAACAGCAGAAATGATCGTACCTTCAGCTGGCATCATTTAGCATAAAAATATTCAAAAATTGCCTTTTTTTCAAAATTGAGCAGCGGATGGTAGTTAGTTGAGGTTTTATGACAAGAAAAGGTATCAAATTATAAAAGATGATTTTAGTGCTACAGTCACAATTATTTCAAAGTAACTTTTTATCAAAATACTTGATATTTTTTATAAAAGGCATTTCAGTCACTGCTTTAGGATGACTTCTCAAGTCTTTTTTACTAAATTTTTTCAACTTGAATTATTTAGTTATTGAATTGCATATTTGATCAATAAATTTTAATTGTGGACGACTGAGAGGAAAGAAGTGTAATTCTTATACAGTCGTAGTCGTTTATAATTGATGTGTGGTAGAGAATGGAGTTGCTAAGGAAATCTCAGAAAGATTTTGCGGGATAACAAAGATGTGTTACCTACAGAAACTATCTAGAATCCATTTTCTTTGTAAAAATGATTCATTTTCAGCAGCTTTTTCTATCATTTCCTTCAACTTTTACTGAATTAATTAACTTACTTTCTGACTCCTTATATGATAATTCTGAGAGGTCAAATTTGCGAGATGAATAACAGTAATTTAAAATCACGGGAAGCGAAATACACAAATTATGTTTCCTTGATTTTTTAATTGGAAAAACTATTGTCTAGGATGTGTTTTGGCCTTCAAAATATATATCATTGTTGTTAAGCAGTTTATGTTATTGAGTCGATAATAGCCACTCTCATTCCAATTATCATGTAATTACTTTTCGTTTTTAACTTTGTTATTACAATTTTTCAGTGCATGCATCTCATGTTATTTCCTTTATTTGCTGACTTCGCATAGTTTTTTCTTCTTTAGCCCATTATTCTTAACTTATTTATTTAAGTCATTTTTTATTTCTGATACGAGCCTAGGGAGTGAATAGCCATGCTGCGTTTGTTCATTGGAGTGTTGAATTTTTAAAGGCTGTAAATCATATCGTTTGTTGAAATTTTTTAATCTGATTCAGCATTTATGAAGCAAGAATTTAGGTCATCGTGGAAAGCAAAGTACTGAGGAAAATTAATGCAAAGAATGAGATCATTTCGCCGTATTTAAGTTTTAAGTGTATCCAAATAAATTTATGCGTTCACATGGTTTTTCCAGAAAGGAATTCTTCTTAAAAAATCATGTCAGTACAAAAATATTTTGATGTTTATTCCACCATAAATGCTCAGTTCGTATTTTAAATTGATAATTTTGTGTGTAATTGTCAAGAAGCTGACAATGACTTTAAATTAGAAGTCTCTTTTTTGCATGAATAATAAAATTAATGTGTAATACATACTGTTGATATCTCGGAAACGACACAAATTGAGTGATATGAAGGTCATAAATTTTTCCAACTCTATAGTTATTTTTCTTTCAAGGCAGTAAAAATTTTCATTTCTTGTATTTGAAAAGGACTGTTTTTGCATTGAATAATGAATTTGCTTTTTTCAACGAAAAACACAATACTTTGTTGTAACTTTCTGAAAACGAATATTCCATGCTTGACTCTTTGAATGATGAAGTGAACGATAATAATAGTGATGAGTGTAAGTGTGTAAGTGCAGTCTTGTTACAGCAAAGCATTAGATTCCAAGAAGAAACAGAGTTGCGTTTAAGTGAGTAAATCCTGTGAAACCAGTGAAAATACATTTTCCAGTAGAAAATAATTAAGCAAGATTAATAAGTAGATAAAGAATATCACATTTATGGTGATCTAAAGATTATCAAATTCGTGGTAATTTAGTAATAACGAAGCATGACTAAGACAATAATATTCTTCACCAATAATCTTAAAGCATTGTGATAATCTGTCTTCATGAAGATATATATATATGCTTAGCATAAATAATACGCATAAATTTTCAATTTACTTTTAGTCGGATCGAGGACTTGAAGAGCCATTTAATTTTTTTTTTCGCAAATATTCACAGGTATGTGCGTGAGAGAATATATCAGCGAATAATATACATTTAATTTAAACAAATCACAAACATTACTATTTATCATAATTATTATCTCCACGGAATGGCACCAATTCCTCTATCATCCACTCATAACCCACGTGATTTATCCCAGTTGCCCTCGTAGTCGCTGTTTAAAAGATTACTAACTCTTCACTAATATCGACGAGTATTTGAAAAAATTTTAAACATTAATAAAAATTATCAATGCTTGAGTTCAAAAAGTTTGAAAAGTAAAGTGTTTATTGAAGTCTATAAGACTTATAGTATGTATAATCTTTAAATATTTACAAATATCAGTTAATATTAATAAAGTAAGTAATCTTTACAAGAGCAATATTGCCGTATTTTTCATTATACATATTATATTTCAATATAAGAAGCAAAAGCACAATTGAAGTCTGATTGCAAGAAGAGTTTGAAATTTGTTCAAATTTCTGGCTTTTTCGCCAATCCAAACTATAAAATTCTCCAGGAATTACACGTGGAGAAATGTTCTTTAGTGGAAATAACATTCACAAATACTTTCTCTCATTTTGCTGCAAATTTAACTTGAGTCCTCTCAGTCTCTAATAACACAACCTTGCATATTCTTTCATCATTATCTCAATCTTTTGTGCTGCGTTCTTTCAAAATGCTTAGCGTGCCTGTCGCATCTTCGTTGCAAACTGTGTCTCATTATCTTTTCCTACCTCTCTCTCATTTTATACACTCTATGATGACTTCTCGTGAATGCTAATTTTATTTTACCGTGCTGCTATCAAGTTCTTATCAGTTTTTGTGTTCTACTTTGTGTTTGTCGTTGCAAAGGTTTTTACAATGCGATGACTTGAAAATGCCAATTTGGGCACTTAAAAGTGCTGCATCGGGCATTATAGGTCCTTTCCGTGAAGACTAGTCCAGTTGTTTCCTTTTTCTTCTTTTCCATATTCCCACTGCGATGTCAAGTGTTATTTCTTATATCTCGTGATCATTTCATTTGCATTTTTTCACTTCGAGAATTCATTTATTGTTTTTTCACTTGTAGCTTTAATTTGTCTTTTTCCCACTGAAAACCTGTTATCTTGTTTACTTGAACCGCCAATGTATTCACGTTATCACTTATTTCAAATGTGCATAAAAATTTTTGAGCAAATACACATCTCGCGACAATCTTCCCAGTTTTGTATATAATGCTTGGTTTCATTATTTTATGTTATTAGATTCGATATACCTGACGGGAAGTTGATTGTTAATAGTAGCGTGGAATAAGTTTTCTTTCAACTTTGTTTTTATTAAAAGATTGAATTCAGACTTAACATTACGTATTAATTGCATAGCTAGCTCAGTGTGGATTGTAAACGTATTGTGTTTTCGAAACAATTGCACTGATATTATTTCTACTGCTTGTTTATGATCATACAGAATAATCAACTGCTTTGTTATAATTTATTTTTTTTAAAACTTGTTAGAAGCATGGCAGTTCAAGATAAATCAAGATAGTGATCGATTAATTGGGTAGAATATGTCGATTTTCGGTATATTATTATTTGTAAAAAATTTGTGGTACACAGTTCCTATTCAATACATGTTTTAAAGTGATTGCTATGATTATCATCACGAATTTGCATTTGTTGTTCGATTGCGGTTTTTAATTGATTATTACTCATCATCTCTTGCTTAAGATTGGTAACGAACAGGGGCATTCAGCTAATAAATATCAAAACTATTCCTCCCAGCTTCATATTTCGCTCTGCTATTTTAATTTAGAAGAACTTCAATTTTTTGAGTCAGTTTATGACCAATCGAAAAATAATTTTGAAAAAGTATAAGGGTGTGTGAGACAACAACAAGTTTCCTAATCGCTTCAAATCATCTTCTGTAAACAATTTTTGGATTGCACATTTCGACCGATTTGGAATGATACGACGAAGTCCGCGATTTTGGTTTCTTAACTGTTGCATTTCACCACAATCCGAGGTATGTTTTTGTTAAAATTTTGAGTGATTGCTTGATTGTCAAATCATAATTTGACGGATTTGACGAATAAAAATTTTTCTAATTTTTGACAGCTTTTATTTTATTCAAGGCAAGGTCATGCATTTATTAAGTGAATTTATTCAGTCTTTAGTGAATTGAATGCAGTTTACGTCGTTTTTGTATATTTATATTCATTACAAAGCAATTATTTCAGTGAATTCGATTAACCATTTATTCTTTCTTACTTGCGATTAAAAGCGTGAAAGTTTGAAAATTCGGTTATGGAAATATTTTTGGCATTTATTTCTCTTTGACACTAACACGAATGAAATGAAACGTTGGTGTACAAGCTACAAATTATTTCCCTTGTTAAGCTAATTTTGAATGAACTTAGTGTTGCATAAGGGAACAATATTTACGCAGCTAAATTGGTGGAAAGCCGGAATTACCACTTTTATCATTTTTGGTAAAACTAAGTATTATAAGTAACTTGAAACCCATGTTGTATGCTAATCTTATAAGATTCTGAATCAAAATCTCATTTCTTTTCAATTTATTTTTCAATATGCAAGATCTTCTTATTTTTTCTTAATAGTTACGATTGCAGATAGCTCGAATAAGGATAGATCATTCGATGATTGGTGGTCCAACCGATTTCCGACACATTGGACATATGGGTGCAAATGATCTCAACTCTACGTTCAATGTGACTCATTTTTAATTGTTGTATTTTTTTGCAAATCAAGATTTTTAACATTTGTCATTCATTTTAAATCTACATTTCATAAGAAAGTTTAGAATATTACAACAAAGATTTCGCCTGCATTGTAATTTCTTTCTTATATATTTCGCCCAATAATGGTTGTTGAGGTATTGAGTTGTCTGCATGTCTTATAGCTTCATACTATGGTATTGATAAGGAAGTAGAAAAAAAGATGCTAGTTCAGGTCGATGCAGTGAGCTGCTTACTGAGGTCGAAAGGCGATGACTCTTATTCGCTACCAGTGCCGCAACATCTTCGGGCAAATGATATACCAATAATCAAAGGTTTATGACTTTTTTAAAAGAATTTTTTCATTTTACTATTGTTTTTAAAGTCTGATTACTACACTTATTTGAGCATTATGATAAGAGTTATTAGGTTTTGGATTGTGTAAAATTTTTTTGAGCACTTGCGTTTACTTGGTAAGGCAAGAAATCGCTAGTCTTGAAGGACTAATAATATCTGAAGATTTTTATATGATTATATACAATTAACTTTGGCTCATGTTTCGTTTCTAATTTTAGCTCAATAAGATCCTGTTTATCTCCTTCATTGCAAATAGTGAACTTTATTCAGTGCTTACCGGTCGACACAAATGTCTCAGCATTTACATGATTCAATTTTGTTAATATTTCTTCTTCATGACTGACTTCTGCGGTACACAATGAAGTTAGTCATACTAACAGTTTTGTGAATATCCTAGGTATTATGCATATGAATAATTTCGAATATGCAGTGATTTTGATATGTATATCGGGCATTCTTTTTATTTATTAAAACTTCTGGAAATTTTTTTTTTCGAAATTTCATACTCAATCATTGGTCCATTGCCTTAGTTCAACTGTTTATAGTTTTCGCGATATTAAGATGAGTGAGTCGGAAATTTTGGCATGGTGACAGAAACAACTAAAGCGATCATAGTGAATGTTGTAATTGAGACATGTCCCGGCATTTGGTTTTGTTGCACCAACCTTATAGCAATCGGGATTTTGTTTTTTGTAAAACTAGTGGTTAGCACTTGAAAAATTTTCCAGTTTTATTGAAACAGCTTAAAAAGTGAAATCTTCTGAACAAACGAAAATGGAGGTGTGAGTTGAGTTTCCACGCCTGTAATTTTCTGTAAGTGACAATTTTTATCTCTGATGATTGCAGCTCCATTTATTTTGATAGGGAAATGGCCAAATTCATGAGATTGTTTGTTGTTTTCCTGTTATCAGTGTTCATAAAAGGCTTTATTCTTTACATTATGTTGTAAATTTATTCGCTTTCACAGAATTCTCTATTGCTTTACATGGGTTGAAGAAATTTCCGAATTTAATAGTAAACTTTTTATAGAAAATTTGGAAAACAGTTTCTGCCATTCATATTTCCAGCTACCTGTATTACACTGCTCAGTTCTTTTTTCAGTTGTAATTGTTAGTGTTGCTATTATCAGCAGTTTCGCCAGTAAGCAATTTAATTCAGTACTGTTGAATATTATTATACGCTGACTGATTAATGTACATTTCTTGAAATTGCACACACATGTCTTGATTTCTTTAGCTAACTAGTCCCATGTTGTTATTTTCCATCCTTTCTACTAAGCCATATCATAAATGTTCTTTGGGGATTATATACATATTTTAGACCATAGTGTGATATTTCAAACAAATAAAGATATACTAATACATGTATTTTGCTTATTCATGTATCACATCATTAAAACATAATAATTTTCATTTATCAAAGTCATCCAGATATGATAGTATGAATGCAGCAACGTAAATATTCGGAGAAAAGAAGCATCTTAGGTATAGAGATGTGATGTTTACGTGTAGAGAGTTGTACTATATTTTTCAGTAATCTTTTTTATTAATTTTTATTAAAGGAAGGCATTTTGCTGACTAGTCTGGTGCAATTCAGAGAGGATTTTGACGAATCGAGTAAAATTTTCGGCACTGTAAGAATCTGGTTACTTAGTACTACTAATTAATCAACGAAAAATTTCATAGATGAGTCAGATTATGTTGTGATTCCGAAATTAAGATTTGAAAAGCGAATGTGTTTTTTGAATCTTTTTTCAGATTAGAATGAAATGATGGTAACAATAATTTTTTAAATATTTTAAAGTTAAAATAAACTGGCCACGCTCGTACTTTGCTTAACACTTGTATGTAATTGGAGTCCTTGAATATGCATTCATTTACTGGAGACATTCTTTTCCAATTTTTCGCGTATTTCTTCCATTGTTAAACGTTTACTAGTAACACGCAGGATTTTGGATCTTGATCGAACACCCTTTAAAATCAATATTTGTAATCTTGCACTTTTATATTTTTCTTGCTATTTCTAGTAAGCCTAATAATTATTTACTTTATTGTTATACAAACTGCAAATGTAATTAATACGCAGTTTAAAAATACGTTACGTGATCTAATTACACTAACTCATTACATAACAATAACATAAATGGATATTAAGCTTATTAGAAACGACAAAAAAGATAATTATGTGTTGCAGACATCCATCAATTCATTACTTGAGTGAATTAGTAAACTGTCTTCGGAATGCACCAGCACTACATTTACTTGTCACAAGTTACGTATTTTGATACCAAACAATATTCCTTCCATGCAGCATATTTACAAATATTTATTTGCATTCAAGAATCGTCAACTGCTGCTGATGTTTTTACTTTTGTGATATATGAAAAATAAATAAAGACCAGTCATGCATCATAGATTAAAGAAAAGAAGAACACATCGACTGACTCCAATAACTGAAGAATAATTTAGAAGATATTTTTGTTTTCGTTTACACAAAGTTCTGAAGGATGCTGCAGCATTTAATTTCAAGTATTTGAAATACGTGCACTTACAGATTTGCTTAAATAACAAAGACTTGAAGTAAGAAAGGGATGCTACCACAATTACCATCCTATGAGTTACCGAATTTTAGTAGAAATTTTATCGATATTTTAATTGCCATGGCAGGATGATACGTTTGAAAGGTATTATAGATTTTTCACGCTGACTTTCACGTACTTCACAGAGACTAAATACAAAAAGGGAACTGGATATGAGTCAGTTGGCAAATAAATAAATATTCACTGTTATTTCATACACTGAACAAAATAAGAACAAACTGCCAGCATACTTTGGACTTTTTACTTTTCACTCAAAGAGGACTCTGAACGTTGTTTATCAGTTTATTACGATACTTTCCTTCTTCCTCATACTTACTGCTTTTCTCGTTCAAACTGACAGCCACAAAAGATGCAAAACACAAAATATGCATCTTCTATTCACAGCTTCATTTAAACTCATCTTCTGGTATTTTCTGAGACGTGTGCACTACGACTAACCTTTCCAAAAATACAGTAGTTTTTATAGAATGCATCAACAATTTATTTAACGTCTTACCATGCTCCTTGAATATGTGAATGTACTTTGTCTAGGTATTTTGTAATATGAGTAGTTCTTGGTCACATAGTATTGACACACTGATAGCTAAATTAATACTACAAAATACATCTTATAAAGAATTACCGTCTCGAAAGCTATTTCATTTCGACGCAGTTTTAAAATATTCATCATCGCGTGAAGTAAAGTTTCGTTTGCTTTACCATCACATGGAGGAACCGCAATCGCAATTCCGATTTCATTTGCACCAATATATGAAATAATCAGAATCATTAATTCCAATCAAGAAGAATGGCTAGTCTACAGATTTATTCTGTATACACCTAACCAATATTTATTTCATGCCTATTTGTACACGTCAACTTAAATTTCGTTATTTCCAAATTAATCGCAGCCACAACATCACAATCATTCAATTAGTGACTTATTCCTATCTTATAACTAATTTGAGTATCACTGTTGATAAACATCTATTAATCATCAACCAAAAAAAAAAAACGAATATTAACAGAAATATGATAATGACTGAGTTCATTTAGTGACCTTAAATGATAATTTTCTTCCTTCGTAATAGAAGTCAATGATAATTATCAGTACCAGTAATACGTGTTGTTCTTGCATTTGGTTTTGCATGTATTCTCAACAGAATTTCTCCATCCTTATTCACTGTCAATGCACTATTATTTGATAATACAGCATTTCTTTGTTTTCCCTACAAATTCAAATTCCGATCGAAATCTTAAACTCGAAACTCATTTTTGAGTGATTAAAAAAAGATCAAAATTTTGAGGGAATACTTTTAGTGACAGTCATTGATAAACATTTGAATAAATGACCATATTTGACGTATTTAGAGTAATTGCAGTCGCTCCTGCCTCTTTCTCTTTATTCTTCTTTTTGTAGTGAATTTTTCTGCAATTTTTGATCATTTATGATCCAGCACTGTACATTATTTTCAACTGCGAAACTCAAATAAATAACTGTGATATCAGAAATTCATGATCAATATCGTTGTTAAGAAGCAATAAGCAATGACATTGTCTGTAATACTTTTAGAGATCAAACTTACTTATTTTAGTTTTGTTTTAGTTAAAATCAGTTTGATTCCAACTAAAATAAGTTTAGAAGCGAAGAAAAATTTCTTTCGTAATATATATTATCGTATCATTCTCATAACACATGTAGCATTGCTAGCTAGACACATTTGTCCTTTATGTTAACCCAGATCACGATATTCACGCAATTAAACAGATTGACCAAAATAATCAAGCATAACAAGAAAAAACTACTTACTGTTGTACTCCTAATAAAATGGATTTTTTATTAAACTGTGCACTGTTTTCTCTCAGTTCACTTTGACAGTGTACTTTGAGGATTTTATTCCTTTTCAATCTCAAATAAGCGCAATTCTATCTGTACAACTACAGTACAGACATGGATTGTAAAAGTCTGCTCTGACGTCAAAAAAAACTGCCAACCTTTTGCTATCTCAAAGCGTGTCTTACCTGTCCCTTTTCTTTATTTATCCATTCGCAACTTGTAAAACTAAACATTCATTGACGCGTGCAATGTAAAAGATAAATACAATGCAACGAAGTACACTTTTACGATTCGGCACTATTATTCATGCTTGAATTTTCGATAATTATTTGTTCCTATCGTACAAATTTTGCTAGGAAATGTTTACCCTACCTGTAAAGAAGTTTGTAACTGCTGAATTGAATTTGACGGAAAGCATTCATCGAAAATTACCATTCATGCGTCAATTCACGTTGTCATATTCGTATTAATTGCTGTTCTCGTAAATAAGCGATTTCAATCAAAAATTCACTTCTTGCGAAATTGCAATTAATTGGTTTTTCACAGGAGTTGCTTTTGTCTCGTTGTTTCGCTTTCCATTATCGGATTCTCCACGTAAAATCAATTAGTCTATAATCAGTTGATCGGCCAACATTTCACTGTATCGATACCGGTGAGCAAACATACAAAAAACATTCCACACAAATTTTGCAGTTATGAAACAAAAGTAAAATCAAGCCTTACTTTTTCACAAATGTTGCATGAACATCAAAACTTTACTTGCGCTGTTTACATCACTTCTACAATGTTATTTATCATTCCGAGTTAGATGCGATGGAAATTAGGAGTTAGTGCTCTACTCTTAGTACTGCTCTTAGTTACTGCTCCTCTATTTCAATAGTTTCTCGTGCTTTATAAGTTAACAGGCAGAAATTTTCAGATAAAAATGGAGGAAGTAAACAACGAAAAAACTTTCACAAGTGGTAGTGAAAAAATACATGTAAGAATGGAACGAATACTGCAGTATCTGTGCTCGCTGATTATGGTACAGCAGGTGAATCCTAGTCCTCTACTTTATTTCTGTTGGAAGTCTCAAATCTAGCATTATAAAATTTTCTATTAGACATAACGGTGTTACTTTCTTTCGTTCAAAAATCGAGCATTCTCACTTGAATTATTGTGTTCGCAGTGTACCGACTAATCTTTAGTATATCAGCTTTATGAATACCTTATTTCGTGATTTCAGATTATTAGTATGTACAGTCAGGTGAAGTATCACCACAGAAACGTGGAAGAAGCATTAGATAAAGTGGAAAATGGATTCAAAGTTGCTTATAGTCATTTTTTAAGTCTGTACGATAGATATTGCCAGACAACAGTTGACAACGTAAATGGTAAGTTTATTTATAATTCATTTTAATTTTTGATAATCTAGATTCGAAAATAATTCGTAAAGTAAAATTATATAGTGTGCAACTTTGAAAGTTCTTTGACGTAGTTTTTTGATTTTTACTAAAGTAATGAGAGTATATACCAGGTCAAAAAAAGACCAGATAAGTATTTCAGCGTTGAAAATGATTTGTGGTTAGAAGAGAAGCATATATTGGAATTAAACTAAATGGTCTGATCTTTTTTTAGGTCGAATCGCACATATGCTGGAAAAAATATTCACATTTGGAATTGGGATTATCTTCATCTGCATACAACTTAACTTAACATTAATGATTGCAATTATTACGATGATTTTCAGTCTGATAATCACTGGAAAAGGAGCACTAGAACAAGCTTCCACATCAGCAACGGTTATTATTCATTGTCTTGAACACAATTTTCTCTTACTCTAAAGTAGCCTACCGAACTGAACCTGCACAATTTAATACTTTCGTAGTTTTCTCTTTAAATTAATGTTTAACTTAAAAAAAAAAGCATGCAAGTATTTATTTCGTCCATATAAACAGAAAACTATTTTACTAAAATTTGCTTAGTTTTGCTGATCACGTATTATTTTGCTGATATATTTTTATCAAAAATTACTTCAGGGCCTATTAGCAATCATTTTGGTGCTCGCATTGTACATTATACTGAAGTTAAAACATTTTTCATAAACAATTAATTATAAGTGATTAAGCACGTTTTATAATTATTGTCTATATAATCCTTAATATTATGAATAAAGGATAAATTTACATCTATTTTGCTAACATTATTACCAAATTATAACAGATGTAAGTAATGGACAAATAAAAGTGTATCTATCTTTAAATACCTTCAAGCAATTTATAGCTATTTACGTCTGTATCTATTTTACCATTTTATGTAAGTTATCTTAAATGTAAAATGTTTTAAATATATTTCCACGTTCAAAGCAGATATATTCAAAATAATGCTTTTGAAACAGATTAATTTTACAGAATGCGCAAGCAACTGCTCGAAAAATGGTATCCGATTTGTCTGGAAAAGTGCAGTATGTCTCACGAGTAAGTGAAACAAAATGAAGTGCTTGTTAAAAAATGATGGAGAAGCTTTGATTCCTGACAAAATTCACATGAATCCAACTTATCGCAAGAAATACTTATTTGAGAGATAACAATATTTAAACATTATTTGTGAATTAGAAAAGCATTCATAATTTCATCCAAATCATAGTTAAACATGAGGATCATTTTATATATCATTCATTTTAAATATGCGCTAAGAGCGAAGGGATTTCTTTTTTTCAAATAAATTGGAAAGATACTGAATGAAAAAGCGATATTATATTTAGTTTACACAAATGTTTCATTGCATAACGCTAATTACCACAGTAATGATAAGTACGAGGAAGAAAAAAAAATTATTGAAGGTTTCAACAGAAAAAGTTGAACAGCAAGCGAATCGTCTGCTAGATCAAGCAAATAAGGTAGCTCACTCAGCTCTAGGTGTGGCACTGGAAACGGAAGATAATGATAAAACACTATGGAGTCGTTTTCACGATCTTGGCAGCCGTATTTTAGAAACTTCTAAGAATCGAGCTGAGAGCGATATACTTCATCGGTCTAAATGTGAAGCATATAAGGTCATGGAATCGTTGTGTAATTCACTTTCTCTGGTAAAACTTATTTTTTCTCATGCAAATAATTGAACTGTAGGTCATTATGATCTGCAAGTATGTGAAAATAATTTAATTTAGTACTTTTCCAAATTCTCCTAAGAAAAAATCTTAGTCCAAATAGGGTTCCGTAAGTTTTGTTTATTCGCATTCTTCCATTATATGAAGCAAGGTTTGAATTTTGTGAAAAGTTTGCCACTAATAGAGTATGAAAAAATATGAAGTTTTAAAGCATTCATGTGTCACTTTAGTCTAGTTTTTATGTAGCATAGCATTTTTATTTTTACGAAAATTTTACGCTGTACAATTTAGACTGACAAAGTCCGTAAAAACAGAACTTGGGTTGCTGGAAAGGTTGGAGAATTTCGAACATCATTAGATGATCTGAAAGACTTGCTGGAAAAGGAAGCAAAAGTATTGAAAAAGAATCCAGAGGAAATCCTGATGAATTATTTGCAAAGAAATATATGGATGTTGCCTGATAGACTTCATATATTAGCAGAGACAGGTAGTAAGGTTAGTTGCTTTTCCCTTATTAGTTATTTTATTCTTCATATCTGAATTATATGGTATGAAATGATAAACTGAAGTTCATTGGTTGCAACTAAAGTAATATTTAGCACATTTTTTCCAGGTATTGAATGAGCAGTCTACGAACAGACTTCGCTCTCTAATCTCATATATTGAAAAACTGAACAAGAAACTTGCACAAGTTGATAATGTGCTTGAATTGAAGGATGAAGTAAATCTATTTTATTAGTTTTAAAGCTTTCAAATAATTAAAAATGCTGTAATAGTTAAACTGTACGAACTCTTCTTTAAAATCTCTTCTATACCAAGTTAGTTATCTTTATCAAATTCTATATAGAAAATATCGCAAAATATATTATAAAGTTTCTCAGGTCCTCAATGAAGCATATGATCGTCTCACGGATTTATTGCAGTGGTTCGTAGATCATTCAGACTGTAGCGATTATACCGAGAATTTAAAATCATTTAGTAATGATCATACTGACTAATGTGTGTCATGCTGCAGCGCTTTGCCCCATCAAATTAGTAGGTTTTTACCTTATACAGAAACTTATAATCTAATGATCTCCTGTTTAAATATTCGTGTATACAGTGACATTCAGCAATGACTTCTCATTTTACTTTACAAATTTTCAGTTGCTAATTTAAATATCGTGACTCCTTGAAATGCTGCAGTTGGATGGCAGTCACAGCAATGACTTAGGAGATGCTTATTTTAAGATTGTTTAATAATCACTGAGAAACCTTATTTAAGCGGTACCGTTGTACAGTTCTATGTTTCATATTCCTAATAGTTTCAATGTGAGTCAAAAAAAAGTCATCAATTCATATATGCATTGATTGGTATAAAATGATTATTACACTGCTCGGCAAAGAACAGCCGAATTGTTTATTGGATTCCATGTTCGGAAGATTTTGTTTCCATAAGCTGTACACTGTTGTAATTATTTTTTTAAATAGAAACTTGTTCAGAATTTTCGCATTCATTATAACAACATAATTTGATTTCTGTGGTATGACCTCCAAAGATGAAATATATGTAACTAAATGTGACTAAAATTTGTTATTAATTCAGAGTTGATAGACTGTGCTAACGTCTTAAATAGGCTAGTTGGAGAAACTCTCTAAAATTAAGGCTTGCAGTTGAGGTGGGGGTACTGACGAGCGCACAACAAAGCTTGAGGCAGAAAGCACCAGATGGCACTTTTGCTTAGTCACTCTATTCAAGAGTGTGCAATTATCGAAATGCGGTACTTGATCTAGCACAAACGAAGTACTAAAATCTAATAAATAAGACGAAAAGCTAGCAAAAGTGTAGGATGATATTGTACATTTGATATTTATGCATTCTAATGTGATACAAAAAGCCAAGAAATATAGAGGCAATATAGTGTGAGGAGATTTTCTGTATTGTTACAAAATGTTTATTCTTGTCGATGTCATTATGAACGAGCAGTGAAATTAACGATTAAAAAACTGAAATACAAACTGCTTCGATCAGTTTCATTCATAAATCAACAGCACAAAACCAATATGAAACTAATAAGCTATTAACTATATAACTTTTACAAATTGAAACGCTGATGAGGCGTTGATTTCGAATCTTACACTATTTAATCGTAAGACAATGCTGCTAGAGAAAGCATTCCTGCCAGCATAGAGACCAATTTAGAAGCACATCAATTAGGGTGAAAATTTCAAGATGAAGTTTACAGGTGTCAAGATGGGATTTGAAATCAAAGCTTCCTAACGAAAAATACCACATGCAGCAGCTGATTTGAAGCAACTGCATTCGAAGTATGAAAAGATAACCCTCTTGAGACTCGTGAAAGATAAACTTACTTTCAAATACTTCAAAACGTTTTAAAGAACCAACTGTTACTAGGGAGCAGATTCTTCCATGGAAAAGGAAAGCGCTAAGTAAATTAATTTAAATATCATCCGAACAATAGTTTCATAAGTATGACGAATATGTTGACTGCGATAAGAGGAACTGAAAATATATATTTATTAATTTAAAAAAAATTGACTTCGTGATAAAAAGCGTTTAATCTTTGAGAGACTGGCAAAATACTGTGAAACAAGAGAACAATTCATATAAAAAGACTAAGGAACAAGAGAAGCAATATCGCTAGCAAGATCTTCGTAGTTTCTCAAGTTATTCAAAAATTTGGAATTTAGTAATATAAATTAGTTTAGTAAATACTTCAATTATATATATGTGGCAATTCTTTTAAGTTTACCGCGCATAACTGTTTGTACAGCAGCAATAAGATTCACCACTTGCATTTTGAAAGACAAGGAGTCTACCGTTTCAAATGAGTAGTTTGATACTGAAAGACCTACCTGGAAAAGTTCTTTTAGTAGAACTCTCTTCTGAACTTCATTCACTTTTTAATCAAATATATGAAACAACTTGATAAAAATAATCAAGTGAATCATTACAGCCAGAAGCTGATTTCCTTTGATAAATCAATCATTCAAACAAGGATTCAGTATTACCAATTACTTAATGATGTTACGAAAATTTTGATGTTTCGAACAATAACGTTCCAATCAATGCAGTAAACAACAGTTTATTATCATAAAGAGTTTACAAGACTGAAATTATCCAGCAAGTAATTACAAACTTCAACCACAGATTAAAAAAAGTGATAAGACTCACTTTACTCAAGAATCGCTCTCTATTAAGAACTGCGATCCCATTCAAAACAAGTAAACTCGCTTCCAACAAACCATAAAATGTAATCGGCATACTTCTCTGTAGTTACGATTAAGATAATATCTTCGAATCAAATAATGTAGTCACCTGAAAATACGTGCAAATGAATATGTACCGCACTCATCACTCTTTCATATTTCAGTTCCAAGTACGATTTCACCAAGTATAATAACCATCAGTTTATAAACTAAACAAGCGTTCACTAGACGCGTCAAGACTGATTGCTACCCCTCATATTTAACAGTTCCCGCACTTTCACTATTTGCAATATAGAACCATGTTCAGCTACTATATTAAGCGATCGCGAGAGAGATTATGCCAACTCAGCTTATATTCATAAACGACTGGCAAAATATTCTAAATATACTAAAATCTCATAAGTATGCAGAACACAAACCGCATCAGCAATTCAGTCTTTTATGTGCACATAAAACAGATTCTAAAATTTCAAACTGCTGAAAGCACTTAAAAACCATAAAAATAAAGGTAACACAAGTTAAACGAGTTGCTTCATGACAATGAAAATAAAATACAATCAAAAAGTTGACATCACTGAATACAAATAACTCATTTTATGTACTGCTGACTACAAAAAACTATATTTCTCTTTATAGATTACAATACAGAAGTATGAATTTCCAAGATCATTTTCTACACCAAACGCCGAGATGAACTTATTTCCGATATAAATATAGAACTCTGTTCATGCAAATTCAACAAACTGGTGTTTGAGATTCAAACTTTATAATGTTCATAATTAAAATTTTCCAAAACCCCAAACAGTAACGTAACTAACAAACAGAATTACTATATAATATACTAGTATTTTCTTGGCGCGTAGACAATTCCATAACGTGCTTCTTTATCTTCCAAACCAAAAAAAAGCATTTCAGACGATTCAAATGCTGTAAATTAAGAATGAGTCATGACCGAAATTAAATCAACATGAAAGTAAATTTTTACCCAGAAAAAAACAGATATGAAAAAAAGAAGAATGAGTCAAGAATTGAGAAAAAATGACACCGAGCCAAAATGAAAATATCAAACTAACACAAAATGCCACAGAAAAAAAGAAAGACAAGAAGCAACAATGAAAATAAGAACCTACTTGTAACATAGACAGTCACTAACATGATCAAAGAACAAAGAGTCGCATAAGTTGATTAGCAGAATATATTTCTCCTGTTTTAGGGCAAACAATTTCTTCCGATGAATTGATCAATTTTTCAATAGATTTAGAACCAAACACGTAACCGTTCGGTAGCATATAAGGTTCATTGTTATCACCTATTTGTTCCCCAGAATAAGAACACATCAACCTGTAAGGAATTATTACTAATTTTGGATTTCTATTTTCTATAAAACGCGAAATTTTTTTCTCAGCAAATGTATTCCAGTATTTTATGTGAACAAGCATGAAATTTATAGAGAATTATGAGGTATTTTTAGAAGCAAATTAAGAATGAAGAAAAACAACTTACTTGGAATTAGAAGCATGAGAATGAGGCAAATCTTCTGCGAGTTCGAACAAATCCGGACGACATGTTGGACAATGCGAGTCAAGATCCGGACGACACTGTGGACTTTTGTAGGCTGATAATCCCAGACATAAGCATGCATTGAAAGGTGAATATTCCATAAGCTATTAAAACGATAATATGTGATTGAAAGAACCAAAATATTTAAATAGAAACATAAGAATTGTCTATCAGCAATACAAAATTATTAGGGAATAGAATTAAGAATTATGCCTCCAAAATTTGTTCTTTCATAGAGTCCAAAATTTAATGAACGACACACACTCCAAGATGGTATTTTATAAATTAAATATCTTTACTTTATCGATAAACTCACTGAAAATAAAATTCATATAATGTGTACTTGATTTGTTTCACTGAAATTAAAAGTCAGCAGTTTTACTTCTAATCACATAAGCATTTCTAAGTGCAAGAATTAACCTTATATACACGAGCATTTTCTTGTCTAAACAAATCAATAAGTTGATCCCAGCGTTTCTCACTGAAATATTCGCTGTATGCGCAAGTCCTGACAGGATTACCAAAACCAATAAGACCCATAACCTGTTTGGAATACAGATCTGTGAAATCAGTATATAAAATAATAACAAAACATAATGGTAGCATAACTACAACAATATAAAAGTTGGTTAACTAACACTTTTCCGATTACGGCTTCAAAAAAAAAATGGTTGCAATGATACAATGATTTCTGAGCAGCAAGAAAAATAATCACTTTCACAACTTGATCACTCCATTGATCCTTCGGTAAGTTAGACAGAAATTTCCTAACATAATGCACTGCTTGCAAACGTTCACCTGAAAAGTCAGTTTCATTCACTACCAGAACCAAATTTATATGCAATGATTTATACAGAGCTAGAATTTAATATAGAACTCGAGAAACTCAAAGTGCTGAATTTTATTTAATCAATTTTTTAAATGTCGATAACGAACTAAGTTTCAGTGCATTCCATGCAGTTGATGTAACAAGTGATATCAATTCCATAGTAATTATTCTTATCACTGCTGATCTGATCAGCTAAGCAGCATTTCACATGAAAATAATATTGAAATATTCACCTCGTCGAACCATTTCAATACAGTCCTGCAAACGAATCGTGGTTTCAAGCGGACTTTTTAAGCGCCGTAACTTGGACCTATTCTCAGTAATCCATTCTAAACAACGATCCGTCTCATGACGCGACAAACTATGTTCAACCTGCAAAGCCTGCATCAGAAGTTAGTTACACATTGTTTGAAGAAGTATTGACTACTAAACTCAGACTCAAGAAAGATATAACTAATTTAAAAATGATACTGGTAACTGGTTTATGAGACAATATTTTATACACCAACATGAAAGTTGAAAACTAACTTGTTTTGAAATCATGAAAACATTCTTGTTGCACATATATTCTACATGAGCTTGCTCCGATAATTTCTGCGCAGTTTCGAAGTAACCTGATCGCAATAAGTAGTCAATTATCAAACGACTGATGCGCTGAGAACGCCAAATTTCTTTTTTATATAAATCACACGTATCTGCCTGAAATGAATTCTACTACTAAACACAATTGCAAACTTTTTGCCAAGGTGCTAAGATCTATTTCTTCTAAATACTACTCCCTTTTTAGTTCTAATGTAAGGGGTAACTTACAAGCAGCTTTACCTTACTACTCAAGAACTTTGTGTATAATGAATATTGCCAATCATGATATCGCGCTAATTAGTATTTATCTGCTGGTAAAAATGTCGGCAAAAAACACACAAGACAGATTTAAACATGACTGAGATTTAGCTTTTGCAAATAAATTTAGCTTTATTTTTAAATTAAGGAGTACTAAGAAACGATTCGTATGGATAAATCCAAGACATTTCAAAGTGCGAAATTCCCGCTTGTATCATATTATTGGTTTTACTGCTGATATGCTATAAATTCAGTGATACACAAAACCAACCTTTTGCAAATGATTTAAACGCATTTTTAACAAATCGATTAAAGCAAATTCTTCCTCAGAAATTAACTTTGCTGCAACAAAGATCTGTTCGAAACATTGAAAATAATCAGTCATTTTTTTTCTCACCTGTAATATAATAAAATTAGACGGTGCAATGAATGACGAAAAGAAGCAATATGTAAAGTTAGGCCTGGAGAAAGCATTAAACTAATTATCTTAAAAAGGTTGCAGCAATAACTAAAAAATTATATTTTGACCTTAGAGCGAACAGTTTTTCGTATCATCACTCTTTTCATTGGATTATCTCTACAAAAGGCAATTAATGGTCATTTTATAAAACTTCATCCATGAGCTATTTTCTTAAATGACCATTACCTTTTTTTCATCTTCAATCAATCATGTTAATATTGGTTAAGATTCCAATATAATTCTGAATTCAGAGTGATTGCAATTTCACTTTATTTAAAAGCTATTATGATTTCGACTCTCACATCTTTGCAGCAGATTCTTCCATAATTGGTTCACGGTCAATTTTGCACAGTAATAAGAACTACTGCCAAATAAATAAAAACTGACTCTACGTTTTCGAATAACTTCGCTGGTTGAATGTACAGATTGCATAAGTGATTCCGCTCTTTCCTTGAGATATTGATTATTCTTTTCCAATGCTTTTTGTGACGAACGGAAACATTTATTGAGCAACTCGTACGGTACTTTCAAAGTTGCGTACTCAATTGCTGAGATTTCATCAGCATAAAGTCCTGTACGACCTTGATTTGAAACGTTTCCTACAATATTTTTTAATCGAAAAATTAATTTTGGTCATAGAAGAAATGAGCAGAGAAATAAAACATTGAAAGAACGATCATCATTCACTATGCTCTATAATAAGAAAGGCTATTACCACCAGAACTGGAATCCTGGGAAGCTCCTGAACTGGAAGACATGGCGAACTTTTTGTTAGTACCGTAATGTTATATCTATCTATATAACGAAATGAAGAGAAAAACCTGGAAATAACCTTTCGCTAACAGATCAGATATACACGGTAAAGAAACTTGAAATATCAAAAGTGATAATACCCATTAAATAACTTTACAACTGGGAATAGACTGTCTTAAACCCAATTGAAGTTACTCACACGTCTCGCATTTACTATGTAGACGCATATTTAACTATAGAAGATCTCTTGAAAGTCATAGAATTTGATGCAGCCTTATAGCACAATTTGTGTACGTGACGCGATGCACGCATATCTGAACTCTTCTCTTTCCTCACTTACAAGAATCTCTCTTCACTTACAACTTTAATAGATTTACTTGTTCGCTTTGATTAACACATGCACATTATTGCATAGTTCGTCATCACCAAGACGTGTTGGGATGAAGGTAGTGGAATATATCGTGTTTGCTTCAATAAGGAAATTCACTCCAATCACACGACATATAGATTATGAAAATATCACGTGACATGGATTACAAATCAGATCTACAGCATTGGTAAATTATAATATTTTGCGCTCTGTCACTCACGTGTTGTACACAAAGTGTGAAGAGAACGATTCAAAATGACAAAGTAAACTTGTAACGATGATTCAGTTCCTTTTGAAGTTGCATGTTTATTTGAAGGTGTGTCGGGAGGGATGCATCAATTGACCTGTACTGAAATCAGTCTTTGTTGATTCAGTGGCAATTCATGAACGATTTTGCCCGGAAAGCTCTTTAGGGCAGTGTTATCGCTACTCTTATCCATCCCTTTAATGCATAATAAGTTCAACATTCAAAGTTCAAAATGATCTGCCCTGTCGTTGTAAAAAGATGAGCACTTGATCTGGATCTTTGCACATTTTGTTTTTGTATTCTTGGTGAATGTAGACAAGATCCCTTAATTTCACATGTATGTATGTAGTCATGGTGATCATTTAACCATTTCCGAGCAACCATTAAAAGTACTGCCTAGCACACTCTTAAATGGCCTGGTTGATTATTGAACGATCTGAATGGTCTATAAAAGCGGTTTTCAGTCTATAAACGAGTCTACATAGCTTGTAAATCAAAAAGCTAAATGATCTATAACTTTTAACACAGTGTACGTAACTTATTAGCAAATCGAGTTACGCTAAAAACACAACGTTATGTTTTTAGCGTAGCTCGAACTCGATTCATCATGGCAGATGTTACCTCCTACTACATAAGTTTAAAGACAACAACAGTTACGTTGCTTGGATTGCTGGTCATCTTATCGTTTCTGTTCAATAGCATTCTACTAGCAGCCATACTCTCAAGGTTTGTCTTTTCAGTCAACAGTTTTATTTCTTATTTTCTTATATGCATTGTTTTGATTCAATGTATTCTATTTGAAAACTTTGCGCAATATTGCATTACACATTTTATTCGACTTGAAGGCGAATTTTATAATTGTTTAGAATGGTCAGTACGAGAATTACTAATTAATCTCCCTTTCCCCAATTAATGATGATGTTAAACAAAAACGCATGTATTTCCCTTACACGTCAAAATATTAATTCAGGCATATTATCAACCTTCATTTCACTTCTCTCCTATTATTTACGGTTATACTATTTTTAGTGAAAAACTACGCCACTCTAAATTACTGGTTCTGATATGTAATTTAGCAGTGGTGAATTTGCTGAATATTACTTCACGTATGACAGTTTCATTGCTTTTAATTGCCAACGACTATTCGTTCTCGGATGCGATGTTATGTCGAGTGAGTGCGGCGGCAGAAAATGTAGTTTTTATATCTGCTTTTGCTGCTTTGTGTTTATTTTTTGTCTTTTTTTCTCCCCAAAAATTCTATTAGCATATTGAATGCATTGGAAAGCACAAGTGGATGAGATGAAAGGTTGGAGAGGATTAGTCTTGCTATCCCTAACTTTGGAAACAGAAGTTCATAATTTGATGACTGCTATGTACTAGAAGAATGACATGGAGAATGCAAAAAAATAAAAGAGCATGGAGAAATCTGTCTATGCAAGAGAATAGAATTCTGTGGGTTCACATTCAAAATCTGAATGAGTTCAAGAATGCTCTGAAAATTCGAAATCATTTTTGTGCATTTTGGTGGGATAAATGACAAATGACTAAATGAGTGTAGCAAAGTTCAGACTAGTACCATAATTAAAAAATCTCTTGAATGTAACTTAAATTTACTTACAATTTGAGCTAATTTTAACTTACTGTCCCAGAATGATTTGTTGTTGTTGATCGTTTACCCAATCAAACTACTAGAAAATATGTAATTGTAGTTTATTAGTATGGAGCTACTTATGAGCATAATGATGATGGCAATAGAACGTATTATCACTTTGCGTTTTTCACGTCAAATGATTCTTACGATGTCTCATATGTTAAAGTTTGTTGCTGTTCTTTGGATCATCAGTCTGTGCTTGGCACTTCCTACACTTACTAACAACATACCTGTTAAACTGTACAAATTCCGATATGTCTGTGATATCGACAGGTATTCATTTCTTGCGCTTATGGATTTGATCAAAGTTGCAATTTTCAAAAAAAATTTCTTAATACTGAGATAAAAAAGTGGCAAATATGACTTTTGTCATGAATTCAGCTAAAGGAAATCATAATTTTTACCACTCAATTAAGCAGAAGTTGTGATTTCTGAATTTGAATGAAAAGTTAAACTTTATTGGAAGAAAGTCACAGCAATGAAGGTCTTTTTAAACTGTTTGCAGCAAAACACCAATGTTGTATCCGATAGTACGGCTCTTAATTTTTGCTGGATGTTTGCTGATTTGTCTGATATGTTTTGCTGCTTTTTCTTCTATGTTTTGGCTTGTTTCACGTGAGTATCCTCGTGAATTAAATTCGTCACCGTCAAATTCATCAGAAAGATTACCACAAGCAACCACTGCATCTTCTTGCAAACTTGGTCAAAATTTGAATCTCGTCAAGCTCGTTTTTCTGCTCCTTATTTTATTCATCTTTTTTGACGGGCCGTATATTATACTGAACTTTTATACACAGGTAATTTTTTCAAATTTTATTTGCAAAATTGTTTATATCTTTGTTAATCTGAAATCAACCTTTTGCAATAAAGTAACTCAAATTGTAATTTAGCCGCTCAACTCTTGGAAAGTTATATGACTGAATGACATTTTTTATACCGGGTGGCTTCATCAAATCTTTATTTCTACTCTTATTTTCGAGTAATAAAAAAGATTAGCAATTGATGGCTTTGCAATATTTATGAATTTTCCAAGAGAGATAATTCTTTTTCAGCCTTTGCGGTTAAGTCTTCTGTTCAAAATCATTTGATTCTTAAACGATTTTTATATTTTCAAATGAAAAATACTTCACAATTTTTTTCTTTGAAACTTATATGCTGTAATTCAGTTTGGAAAATAAGCTTTGCAAAAATTATTATTAGTGGAATAAGTTTGGTCGTTAGTAAAACTACAGAATGTGTTTTTTTCATAAGTTTCTGTTATTATTTCTCTCTGCAAACTGAAATCACCTCATAATTTATCGTTATTTTCGCCTCACAGCTTGGTATGAAATATTATATGTAATTTAGATCCGCTTGCTTTCACTTGATACTCTGCAAAAACTAACCAGTATGTTATTTCTAAGTACTGATTGTAGCTTCGAAATAGTAAGGAATTATTTGAAGAAGATTGTTTCTTCGAAACAGGACCAAATGTTGATTCAGTGCTTACTTTGTTACGATTCGTGTTTCCGTTGGTTGCTCCACTCGTGGTGTGTGCTTTCACTATTTACTTTCACTATTTACTTTTACATTAATATAAGTTTTTTAACCAAGTCTCCCACATATAATAGCGTCATTTCAGTTCACGTCGTCTTGCAGTGAACTCTGGCTCGGTGTACAGCGAGTTATATTTTTATTTTATTGTGTAGATCACAATTGAATTACATGTGGATATAAGAGAGTCTTGCTTACATCAAAAACTGTCTAGTGCAATGAGATTTCTGCTGTTGAGCGTGAAACGCTACGAGTGATTTGTTTGAACTTACTTATGCTTTATATTAATGACTTTGAATATATGAACCTTCTAGTTATTTCTGATCTCTTTCTTGTTGGTTTCGCGTATATTCACTTTTTTTTTCAGAATTGTACCGAAAAAAGAATTTGGAATATCAATTATAAAATTACAAATACAATGAGAAAAAGAAATTAGAGAATGAAATATCAGATGCACTACTAAAAATCCAAATATTTAATCAGTGCACCATCAATGAAACGAGCGTTATCAGTTCTCAAATATTGTGGTTGACTTATTTGTGTGCGAAAAGATTCATGCAGCCCTGATTAGACGAGTTCAATTCGTTCGTTTTAATTTAAAGTAATTTCATTTAGAATGCTTCAGAATTTTAGTCATCCATTGTTGTTTCGAGTAATTTGAGTACGAATTCTGACTTTTGATGCGAAAGAATTCTTATTTATTCACAATTATAAATGAAGCTAATTGCATATAAAAGCGATTCGTACATTTTTAAATTGATCGCAATTAAATACGACAACAATTTTATTCTCATTTGAATTTGTACGTCTTACTGCTTTTGCGATATGTAATAATGTAGCACTAGCTTCAATCGGCCTAAAAATACTTCTTATTTGCAGATTTAATTCTCATTACTTTTAAAAAAAAGTAAGTCAATTCAATTGGTCTTTTACTATTTTACTTAAAGAAAGCTTTTAGAGGTCGAATCGATTTTGAAAACGTAATATATGATTATGATTGAATGTTTCTGTTAATAAAAGTTAATATTCGGGAGAAATTATGGTTTAAAAGATTGACGCGTAGCATTATTATCGATTTATTAGGATCTAAATAAGTCAAATTTGTGATCAAATTTTTATTCATCAGCAGTTGTGCACATGTAATGAAATCTAATTTTTTCAAATTTCAGAAATTAGTCAGCAGCTGATTCTTTCACATATGAATGAGGAAGAAAGATATATTTTAACATAGAAGGTATTATTTGAAATGCATCGAAAGAGTATTCTAAAACAATAAGCTATTATCAGATTTCCTAGATATTGAGCCTCTCAATCAAGTAAAATCACTAACCCACAAGATTTCGGTGAATCTTTGAATGTCAACCCGGCACCATCAATTCGTATTTCGCAGCCTGTCAGTAACATAGTAGTTGAATTTTTGATCGAAATTTCAAACATTTCTTCGGTTCCAATTAAAGTTTTAGATTCCGAAGATTGCAGCTGAAATTTCTATTTTCGAGCAAAGTTGAAATTTTCTCATTTTCAGCAAATAATGGCTGCTGATATGCGAAAATTATTCACAAGCTCAAGTTTAGATTCAATAAACAAGCATTCACTATCGCTTTTAAGACGATTTTAATGACACTAAAAATATTTGTTTTTGGATTTTTAACGAAATTTGACTTCAACATAACACATTTAATTTACTTTTTAAATTAGTAATAATTTATTGTGCTTTTAAATGCTAATGCTTAAACAATTGTATTAGGTGATGGCATTGGAAAAGTAAGTTATCATCAGATAATTACTTAAATGACTCACTTTTCTAACTGATACTGTCGGCTTCAGAAGCGTGAGTATTTGTTGAGTGTAAAAGCGTTCATTGCTATGGAGAACTCGTGCAAATGCTGTAACTGATATATTCCAGTCTTCCATGAACACATCATAAAAAAAGTTTGGTGGCACGCAAAATTCAACTTTTTGACCTGGAAGACAAGCTGCAAACTGATTGGAATATTTTTATTACTGAAATTGTTTTTTTGTAAAAAGAAATCCTAAGCTTTGCCATCAGACTTATCATGCTTTTTTATGAACATGTGTGTTTCATTTTTGTTATATATTTTTGTGACATGACTTTGGTAATTAGAAATAAAATCTTTCATTATCTTCTAATTTGCCTATACTAGTAGTCAGTCTTATGCTATTAGATGCAAAAAATCTGCTCAAAATATTAGTTATTGTTTAATTTTCACAACAGTGGTTAATGTTTTGCATTCCTTGTCAACAATAAGACTATAAATAGCTAGAAATAATTCAAAACTGGCAGTAATTTATGGACTTTCATTTGATCTGATGATCAGTAATTCTTCGAATGAGTAAACACGTCCAGTATCCATTCCTGTGTAACTCATTAAGTCAACTTGGATTTTGGCATTTATTGTTTGCTCAAAATTAGAATTATTTCGAACTGTCAAGTAGCCACTGATAGGTTTGCTGATATTAACCTGAATTAGTCAGATATATGGGAGAAAAGTAGTCCAAATATAATAGTTTATACACGCAGTGCTAAATTCGGAAAATCGAAAAAAAGAAAAAAAATTAGATCTGAATAGTAATTAAAAACTTTTTAAACTGTTAATTGATATTTTGCGCCGAATCTCGTGCTTTTTTGCTATTTGGTCAATATAAAAGAACATCTGTTCCACTTCACAACGCTAAATTTCTGTCATTTTTACTGAGAAGAAAATTAACATTTTGGAGGTCGCTTAGATGAAATTCGAAATTATCGCTGTTCTTCTCACGTAGTAGCGATAAATCTTGGCTTCTTTTGAGGATATCGGCCAGAGAGTGGAGATAATTAGAACATTTCTTGTAGTTTCTTGTCACATCAATATCATTATCCACTGTGGCGAATACAACATTATCACATACTCTGAATAAATATCATAAAATACTGTGAAGTTGTAATATTCATGGATTCCAACTTTTAATTCGTGAGAAACGCATATATATATA